CTCGAGGGGGCAAATGTCCACATTTCCGTCAAGAGTCGGGGTGTGCCCAAGGCCGGAGATTTATATAACCTTATCTGATCTGTTGATCGTAATAAAGGAGCCATATAATAATAATAATCTTACAACTGCAGAGCTAGAAGGGACCCAACTGATTTATCGACAGCCCCTGTCAGAGAGGCACAGTGGGGAACTGAATGCCCAACCTCTGGCTCCACAGCCAGATGCCTAAACCTCAGACCTATCCAGCAGCTCTTTTTCATTCTTTATTGTCTCCTCTTTTTTTTTTTACAGTAGATTGGAACAGAGTTCATTATAAATGATATCAGTTGGCACGTTCATAGAACTATTAGAAGCTATTTCCACTGAAGAGCTGTTGCTGGCAGGCGGAAATTCAACAGGCATAGCTTTCCTCAGCAATGAGAGTGTAATAATAAAAAATCACCCTTAAGAACAGTCAGTCCAAATGTATCTATCAAGGAATTCCTTTACTGTCTAAACTGAGTACTGAATGCATAAATATTGAAGCCCCAAGGGTTCTTCTCCCAGGCTTCCATTTATATCACGTGTTAAAAATATTGGTTGTTTTTACTTATACTGTATAATGCTGTCATCAGATGCATAAGTAAAAATAGAAGGAAGAATAACAAAAAATTAAGCAGCATATTGTGGGAGATCTGTTCTATGCATTTTTATTCCATTCCATGGGACTTGTTCCCTAGTGTGCAACTTGTTCCCTAGCATGTAGTAAATGGCATTCATGCCTCTAATCTTATACACATATATCAGAAGATAGTCTCATTAGTTATGGTGGAACTTGCTTTTGAATAATGTTCTTAAGACTAAACCCACAGACAAGCAAATGATCTAAACATACTACAGTAGCTGAGGCTCATGATTGTTTAAGGCTGCAATTCTATGCACCTTGGTTTGGGGGATTTGCTATTGCACAAATATACCCAGCATTAAGCCAAAGTTTATACAGACTAATCCCATGCATATTTATTCAGGAGAATGTATACACAAAGTGCACATATAGGGATTGAGCACCTTGCTGCACAGACTGGGAGACTGAATCCCTACTGTACCTCCTAGGAGAACAGCAGCCAGGATCATCTGGAGCATATGTGGCTTGATGGGCTTACATACCCTGCTACGAGTGCAACTCTGTGTAAGTTGCATGTTGCTAAAGCACCACCAGAAGGTGCAACTGGCAAACCACTTCTGAGTACTTTACACCTAAACAACCCTGGAAATGGTTGCAATAGGTTGCAATGTATTTGATAACATACAATTAAATGTACATACAGAATTTTAGCTTTAACAAAGGTAAGACTGGGGTTCACAGAGTATCCATAACTGCTGTCTACAAACATTTTTTGTCAAACCTTGTGGAGTAATTACGTTGAGGGTTGCAGCTAACCAGCCCTTCCATTATCCAGGATACTTTTTTTTCCACGCTTTTATCTCTCACAAACAGCCGCCCAGCATTTTATAACAACTTTTAAATGAGCTGTCTGAGGTTCCCCCACAGTTTTCCCCATAGATAGCACTCTCTGCATGTGCATCTATTCCTGCAAATCTTGGGGTTTCCCTAAGATGGTTTTTTCCCTTGTGTATGAATGGTGCTGTTTTGGCTAAGCAGGACAACGAGGCTCATAACTGAAATATTTTCCTTGCTTCAGGGTGGCAACTGCTGCTTCATCTCATTTGGTTCACGGTATGTCCTCTCCAGATCAACTAAAGTATGCTGACAAGCAGGTTAGGGAAACATGTTCCTCAGGGCAGATAAATAGCCACCTGATATCTGCTTATGTTTGAAGGTGGGAAAGATGGGTTAGCAAATTCTTAGAGGTTTATATTTTCTGCATTTCACACAGTGGCTACAGAACAACCAGAGAGGAAAATATAACCTCATTTTAAAAAAACTACGAATAGTTTGCCTATGGCTGGTAGTATTGAGATTTCATACAGAAAAAGTTAGGCTTTTGATATTTTTCCTCACAACCCAAGACAAACATACATGCATTCTAAGAA